CCGGGACCGGGACCGGGAGGCGGCGCCACGCCGAGGGAGGCGCGGGCAGGTGTGCGGCCCCGGGCAGGTGTGCGAGCCCCCCCGAGACTGGCAGCTGCCTGGTGGTGGCCCTTCCTACCCGGGACAGGCGCCGCCACCGACTTGTCCCCCGGTTCAGTGTGGGATCCTGCCTCTCCCTGGCCTCCTCCAACCAGTTGTGACGTGCACCGAGTTAGACTTCCAGAACGCCCGCGTCTGCTCGGGCGGCCTTTGCTTTGGTCCCGGGTTGGACTCGGGTGCGTGCCCGCTGCCAGGGCTCCTTCCCTAACTTAAAAACAAACAAACAAACCCAAACCAAACCCAACAAATGGCACTTTGTAATCGAAAGCGCTTCCCTCGTCTGGGAACCGAAGTGAGTTTTGCACACCGTGTGTTCTCTTGAGGCCGAACCCGGGAACTTTTTCTCACTTATTATTTGCCTTGAACTTTTGTGTTCCCTCTCTTCCCCCGCAGCAGCCCTCGGCTGCTCGTTAAAGACCTTATAATGGCACGGTTCTGATCCCCCCCTGAGCAGGGTCAAGTGCAGCATATGTATTTTGGTGTAATGCATATGGTAGTTTTCCCGGCGTTATTGGCTTTCTGTGGGATCAGTCATTCATATATTCTTTTTCATCTTGTGTTTAGTATGTTTATAGGTGCTTTCAGGGTGGATATATGAACATTTCAGTTTCAAAAGTAGAGAAAAGTACAAAATCCATAAAATTTGTCCATAACTAGGCACTCCTGTTCCTTTTGAAGCCTTGAAGTAATGAGTATTCCTCACTTGTCTTGTGGGTGTGTAACTTGAAGAAACTGGACTTTTAAAATCTAGTGTCAGCATGTCCTTTAACTAATTTTTCCTTACTTTGCCCACTTTGTCTTCCTTCATGAGAACCCTGTTTTCCTGTTTTTGAAGTTAGGAAAAAAAAAATTCAAGGGTGTGGGGGGTAGTTTTGTAAAGTTTTTGGCTGGATTAAAAATCCTTTTTAAAGTTGAGATCAGGAATGCAGAACAGTACTTGCAATGTCTGAGTAAAGAGTTTTTTTTTGTTTTTGTTTTTGTTTTTTATGAATTTCAGTTTCTTGAAGACGGGTGTTATTATTGATCAACCTCTGAGTGGGTGGCTATGCAGTATGTGGGGCCACCCAACTAGAAAGGGGGGTATTGAATCTCTAAGAGATGCGCACACACATACGGATCTTTCGTTCCTGAACATACATTGAGCACCTTCTGTCTGCCATCTTCCTTCAGAATTACAGCTGCAGAACCTCTACAAATGTCTCTTCTCTTGAACCTGCTTCTGAAGTTCATAGTGCCTTCTTTTTAAGGTTCACGCTGCCCCAAATCTCACAGTTTAAAGAGGCCTTGAGATGTCACAGCAGTGTGACCACAGTGAGTGGGGTGGGTTGATCCTGGCAGTAACTTCTGTGGTTCCTTGTTTGTGAATGAGGTGGGATTAAATAATCTCAGGTCCTCAGCTCTGTGAGAGTCTTGACCTTTAGAGCGAAACCAGTGAGATAGATGGATGATAAAGCTTGGACATAGCATGTCTCTGAGGTTATGATACAGGGTTCTGAAGACAAGGCAAGAAATAAGTGCTCTGCCCAAAGCTTGGTTGCTTTCTGAATCACAGCGAGTGGTTGCTGTGGACACAGCTTACAGGTGGAACACCTGAGTTGTCACTGCCCACTTTGTCTTGATTCTGAGAAGCAGCGTGCATACGTTTGTCTCAAACACACCGTACGGTTAAGATTTCTAAGCAGTCTTCATTTACAGTGAGCATTTTATTCCTCAGGCCTTGCAGCTGGGTTTGGACCAGTCATTCCTGCATCCGTGTCCTTTAGGCTGTGCTGTGCGTTGAGATTGGTCTGTTGCTTCTGACAGCTGACATGTCCACATGCCTGTCTCCTCCCTTGAAAAGCCCCGTCAGCCATGTTTCCTGTCACAGACACTTCCATGCCTATAGGTTGTCTGCAGTCTGCAGCTCAGTTTGTCGCTGGAGATCTCGCTTCTGACCATTTCAGGTTTCGAAGGATAATGATAGCATAGTTTTACCATAGACAGTTTAGAGAAAGACTAGAGAAAACTTCCAGCAGGCCTTTTGATTTTACACTTTCTACAAACAGCCCAGTAATGCTGTTCCCTTGACCCCTCAGGGCGGCTGCCTTCACTTAGTCAGCTTCTGGCTTTTAAGTTAAACCTCCTCAGGAAAATGGTCGTTAAGGCACAGTGGAGGCCCACTAAGGATGCAATCACATTGTTCTCTATAAAAATTACAAAGAAGCATAGTATAATCCATAATTTAAAGCATGCTCCCACCGTAAACACCGTTCTGGTTGGGATTAGGACAATAGCCTGCATTGGTGGTTTTCAGCCCTCCTAACACTGTGACCCTTTAATACAGCCTGTCATGTTGTGGTGACCCCAGCCATAAAGTTATTTCGTTGTTGCTTCATAACTGTATTTTTGCTACTGTTGCAAATCATAATGAAAATATCTGTGTTTTCTGATGGTCGTTCGCCCACACAGAGGTCACAACCCACAGGTTGAGAACCACTGGTCTGCATGTTATACTCTTTAAATATTTGCTGAAAAATATTGTAAGTAAATACAGATCAGTGGATTTGACAGGTTGATGTAAGCACCAACTTTTGCCAAACTCTGTTACAGCCACCCTGTTTTCCCAGTTGATGACAGTATTCTTTAAACAGCACCATTTAATTTTTCATGTCATTTACCTTTTAGTATCTAAAAGACTATGTTTAATGTAGCTGTCCTTATTTTAAAACTTCAGTCACAAAGTCTAAGGGTGTAACACTTGATGAATTTACCCCAGGCCCTGAATTCAGTGCCGAGGCACTGCAAAGCAAACAATTCAACTGGGTGTTCATTTAAAAACTCCATCTATCTTCTTACTGTGTCTAGCTCCTAGATCACAGTTTATTTGGAGTGCGAAGGGGGTGTGGTTTATCTCTCAAATCTCTCCCTGTTCCCAACTCCGTACTCCTTTACCTTGCCTGTGAGAAGATGTTAAAGCTGGTTCTCTTCTCCATCTTGGTCCTTTACTTCCCCTGGCTGGGAAGGTAATAATAGAGGCCAGCAGAGGTGGGCGTAGTCCTGGAACCATTTTTGCTAAAATGGCTATTGTTAGGTCTTTAAGTTCTGATCTCAGTAGTGAGCCGTTCTGTTCTTTCGGCCTAGAAAGTGGGCCATCGGCATCTTTAATACTGTTCATAGACCTCAGCCACACACTGTTGAGCTGGACATTAAGTCGTTTATAATGTTTTGTGTATATATAGAGTGGATGAAAAATGATCCAATAAAAAAGAGGGTGGATAATAGCCCAGAACTTTTGAATTGATTCTTCCCTAATCCTTCTGTTTCAAAAAGTTGTTTGTTTTGACTTGGGTAATTTAACTTGTCTCTCAATTTGCTGAAATTTTTATTGAATTTTGTATCTGTGCTTTGGAAAATATAGAGAGCTAAGATGAAATGGTTCACATAACTGTCAGGGTGCTTAATTTGAGAAACAAAACAAAAGGTTATATTTTGTTGACTTGGATTTGAACCACAAGGTCACTGAAATAAATTCTGTGATAGGATCTGTTTGACTTTTCAGCTGCTAAAATCCTCTATGCTGAATCATGTACCCAAAAGAGAACTCTTTGTATTGCTGGTTCGTTTTCAGAACCTTTAGAACTGTGTGAAGCAAGCCATGAAATATTACTAATCCCAGCAGTGTTCTGCGTTCTGATTGGCCACTCTTGAACTTTAACGCCACTGTAAAATAATGATACAGTAACAGTTGATCTGATTGCGTGGCTACTGACTAATGGCTGAGTGACGTCAACAGGGTAGGTGAACTGGGCATAGGGAGTATATGTGGATAGGATGGTGATATAAATTTCGTTATGCTACTTAGAATGGTGTGGAGCTTACAGCCTGTGATATAATTTTGCATTGTTTCAGTTAATATTTTCCGACTGTAGTTGGCAGCGGATAACTGAAACCTCAGAGATTGATAGTGTGGATAAGGAGAGAGGGCACTCCATAAAAAACCCTTTTGTGTGGTCACCAGCAGCCTTATCCTTAAGAGACTCCTCACAGTTTTTACTACATGCTTGGTGCTACTATAGAAAAGGGAACACGTTTTAAGAACAAGTACAAATGTCAGAGATTTAAATATTTGTTTTTGTTCACTTGCAGTTAATCAAAAGAGCAAAACAGCTAGAAATCAGTATCCCTAAGACAAAGCTCAACCAATTGATTGGGCATTCAGGATAAACAGTCATTCCTTATTTTATGCATAAATAGAATCTGTAAGATAGCAAAAATAAATAAAACAACCACCGAAAAATAACCCACATTATCTTAAAGACTTCGATTTCGAAAGCTGTATTTTATTTTGTTTTGTTTTGTTTTATTGCATATTTATTTATATGTCATGTGTGTGTGTGTTTGCATTCATGTTTGCTTGTGTGAGCTCAGTAGAGGCCCACGGTTGATGTTGGGTGTCTCCTTCACTGCCTCTCCACTTTATTTAATGAGGCAGAGCCTCCCTAAACTTGCATTTCTGCTAGTCTGCCCAGCCATCTTGCCCCGAGGATCTCCTGTCTCCACTTCCCAGAATATGGGATTCCAAGTGGGCTGCCATACCCACCAAGCCTTTACGTGGCTTTTGGAGATAAAAACTCAGTTTCTCATACTTGCTCAAGAAGCATGTTTACTAAATACCCCACCCCCAGCCCTTCCAAAGGTCTGTTTACAAACAGTTTAATGTAGTCAGTGGTGATGGTGTAACAGTTCTGTAAGGGATGAAACAATCCAGGTATGCACTTATCTCAGGATCTCTGAGTGGAAGGCGGGGTTGGGGTGTTTAGATTTTAAGTTATAGATTTTAGATTATATAGTGAAACCTCTTTTGTAATGATGGAAATGTTTTGTGGTATTTGTGATGTTCCAGTATGATAGCTATTAAGTAAATGTGGCTAATTTGTATTTTAAATGTGGTGAGTTTGATTTCTTTAAAAATCACATTGAGGAATTTTGCCTCTGGATTCTGTATCTACATTAGTATTTTTTATTTAGTATTTTCAGTTTATTATTGGAAGTGATAACTGAGACATATACCTACATAGTGTCAAATGCTGGACTCCGTAAATATGACAGCTAATGTCAAAGAGGAAATCAAGGATATTTGTTGAAGAGCAGCTAGAAACTTTACGTAGGATCATTGCATAATTTAGAGAGCCACAGCAGTGGATTTTGAGTGGGTAAGAGCTTCTAGCACTTTTTGAATATAGCAAGGGTCACTGGGAGTTCATTAACAGGGTAGGATGTAAAGAACTAAGGAGGACTTGTCAGACCCTGCTGACTATGGACAGCTCTGGAGGTTGAAGACCCTGAGCAGGTATGGAAGGTGATTGGTTAGACATGCAGGACATGCGAGAGGCGTGGCCTGGAGGGGCCTGTTAAGCTGTTAAACTGACTTAGCAGAGTTCTGAAACTGGATTTTAGAAGTGCACATGGAAGACTTTTTTTGGGTAGAACTGGTCCATCTGGAGAGAATCTGTAATATTCTGAAGGTTGCACTTTGGAAATCAATCTAACCTGAACTTTCAGAGACATTATTATTGGAATAAGCATTGTTGCTGGAATCTCTTCTGCGTGGCTAGTTAGAACAGGAGAGAGCTTAATGAAAGATGATACTTAAAAGGTCTGTCTGGCCGGGCGGTGGTGGCGCACGCCTTTAATCCCAGCACTCGGGAGGCAGAGCCAGGTGGATCTCTGTGAGTTCGAGGCCAGCCTGGGCTACAGTGCGAGTTCCAGGAAAGGCGCAAAGCTACACAGAGAAACCCTGTCTCAAAAAACCAAAAAAAAAAAAAAAAAAAAAAAAAAAAAAAAGTCTGTCTGATTTCAAAGCATTAGCAAGTTGGAATTGTTAGAATCCTATTAATTCTTAGTGGATTTTTATGATGAGCTGTTTTATCTACTATTTTTTTCCTTTTTATAATCTGGTATTTACTCATTGTTATTTTTACAATGTGTATGTTTATAATGTTCACAATTACTTTTACTAGCAACATTTTTATAATTTATCTTGGATTGATAGACCTTTTCTTGTATGTTCTTTATTTCTGGGGTTCTCATTTTGATAAGACTGCTATGATTTAAGTCTGTGGCATCGAATGACAGTTTCATATGCCTGCAGTCCAGATTGTTCACTTTTTCCTCTACTTGATTTGCTTTTCATGCATGAATTATTGAATAACTCTTTGATATTTCATGCACAGTGATTTAATCTGGAACAAAAACAGGAGTAGGTTCGTGAGCATACATATGGTGTGTGTGTGTGTGTGTGTGTGTGTGTGTGTGTGTGTGTGTGTGTGTGTAGTAACTTTTTAGGACTTGCATCTTTTCTCTGGGATTTCTGTTGATGGAGGAGCATCCTATGTGAGAGCCATCTCTGACTGGGGGATACAGGAAAAGAAAGCTATAGGTGTGGTGGCCGCGCACGCCTTTAATCCTAGCACTCGGGAGGCAGAGGCAGGTGGATCTCCTGAGTTCGAGGCCAGCCTGGTCTACAAAGCGAGATCCAGGACAGATAGGGCTGGAAACCTTGTCTTGAAAAACCAAAAGAAAAGAGAAAAGAAAAGGAAAAGAAAAGAAAAGAAAAGAAAAATGGTCAGCACTATGTCCCCGTTACTCATCTGACATGTGGTATGGGCAGAAGAGAGAAGCCCTCCCCGCGCCTCCCACCCATCAATGCCTGAGACAGGTGGAGGAGCTGGCCTTGGGGTCATAAGAGCAGGAGGGCTGACCCTACCCCTCACCAGCTGCAGTACTCGGGAGAGTGGTCCCTGTAGCTCCTCTGGAGAGCACAGTAGAGCTGGTCCTAATGGTGCAGGTGTGGGAGAGACCCTGAGGGCTGGAAGGCAGAAGAACTGGCCGCAACCCTCCATCATTACTGCAAGAGGTGAATTAGCCCAGGGCAATGCTGGAGAGCCCACCCTGGTGGTGAGGACAGGGGAGAACTGGCCAGCAGACCAACCCTACAGCTGCCCAGGCCCAGATCCAGGGTTACGATTTGGCCTGCCCCAACATCCACCCCACCTATGAGCTGCTGGAGCATGTGACCTAAGCCTCAGACCCAAGGCTGCAGGATCTCCACAACACAGGGTAACAACAGGATATCTAGGAAGAGCCCTAGTGAGGGCCCAGCATCCGCAATATAGTAGAAACCAGAGGCCTCGAGCCGGACCAGTGACTCTTTGCAGTGAACACTTGCAAGTAAACATATATGGACAAAGTGGGTTACGGGTGTGACTCACTGTGTCACATTGCAGCTCCCATGATGAGATTTTTAACGGTTTTTTTTTTCCATTTTTAATTTTTTTCCTTTTTTCTCTTAAATTTTGTTTTATTTGGGAGGGGGTGCAGGGGTGGAGGTGGATACAAAGGGACAGGGAAATGAATAGAATCAAGAAACATGATGTAAAAAACACATAGAATAAATAAAAGTGAAAACGAAAGGCAGCTCTAACAATCTACTGGGAAGACATATTTCTATCCTTGTTCCTTTGGACAAAGGAAGTCATGGCCGTGTCTGACATCAAAAGAATGATCAAATTTATTTTATATTTCACCACAGGGAGGGATATGAGATAATGATCTATAGGCTGATTTTGCATTGTATTTTTGGCTCCCTCTATTGACTACTTATGAAGCAGCAGAAGTAAGTTATTTTCTCGTCCAGACAAGCAATCGATAATGTATGTCAGATATACATGGGAGGTTTAAAATAATATTTTGATGGGCAAAATTAACGTTCATTTAAAGAATTTTAGCATTTTGCCCTCCACCAGAAATGTGGGCGTGTGCCTGTTTTCCTACAGACAGTATGCAGTTAAGCGTTTGAGTTTTTACCCAGTCTGGTATGTGAGAAATGGTATCTCACTGTGACTCACATTTGCACTTCACTAGTTGTCTGCGAACCTCAACATCTTTGATATGTGTAAGGCCGGGTTTGCCTTGTGAGTTGTCCGACCTTGCCTTTTGCCCATTGCGTACCCTTGAGTTTTAATATTCTCCCACTGTAGTTCTTCAGATGTTGGAGAT